ACAAGTCTGAGGATGTCGAAATCCCAGTTTCCGAGCCAACAATGATGCATGATTTTGCTATCACTGAGAAGTTTGTGATTGTGCCTGATCAGCAAGTGGTGTTCAAGATGTCGGAAATGATAAGGGGCGGCTCGCCCGTCGTCTATGACAAGCAAAAAATATCGAGGTTTGGAGTATTGGACAAGTACTCGAAAGATGCTTCTGGTATGAAGTGGATTGAGGTGCCTGATTGTTTTTGCTTTCACCTCTGGAATGCATGGGAAGAGCCAGAAACTGATGAAATTGTAGTCATTGGTTCGTGTATGACTCCACCAGACTCGATTTTCAACGAATGTGACGAGGAATTAAAGAGTGTTTTATCCGAAATTCGGCTAAATTTAAAGACTGGAAATTCTACTAGGAGGCCTATCATGTCTGAGAAGGATCAAGTGAATTTAGAGGCAGGAATGGTTAATCGGAACAAGCTCGGCAGAAAAACCCGCTACGCATATCTTGCCATTGCAGAGCCATGGCCTAAAGTTTCTGGTTTTGCTAAAGTTGATATTTTCACTGGTGAAGTGAACAAGTATTTTTACGGCGATGAAAAATATGGTGGCGAGCCTTTTTTCCTCCCTCGAGATCCTAATTGTGAAGCAGAAGACGACGGATACATTCTAGCCTTCGTGCACGACGAAAAGGCGTGGAAATCAGAGCTACAAATTGTTAATGCCATGACTATGAAATTGGTGGCCACAGTCAAGCTCCCATCAAGAGTTCCTTATGGTTTCCATGGCACATTCATAAGCGCTAACGACCTAGCAAATCAAGCCTAATCTATGGCGTATCAAGCTTGTATTTTTTGATTTTCTCAGGAGAGATTTACCAGAGGGCTGGTTTGCAATACAACCCCGGAATCTCCTTCCTGTTTTAGAAGAACCCTCTTTCATATGGATGGAGGTGCTATATACCTTTTTTTTTTTTTAACCTTTTTTCCAGTTTATGTGAGAGGTTTTAGTGAACCTGCTTGTAGCTTTTGGATAGAAATGGAAGCTCAGCTGGCTTTTGCTTATTCTTTCACATATTATGTGAATCAGAAAGTATATATTTACAGGTCCTTGTTTATACACCCTATTTGTCCTCTGTTTTTTCCTCTGTTTCTTGTACATATACAATGGCATAAAGAATTTGTCGGGTCAAGAATTTTTATGTTTAAACTTCTAAATAAGATGGTTTGTCTAATAATCTCAGCCGTGAAATTTCACTTCCGAACCTTACTGGATACAGGGTCATTATAAATGAGCCAATGGGTTTGTGATACTAAGGTACAAGTTGGATGCTTCCTTCATAAGATTCAGACAAGCAGTCTATTTCTGAGGATTGTGATAATTGGAGTAAAAAATTAATGAATCACTAAGATAATGACTGTCCAAAATGGAAGAATGACCACATTCAAATAATGCGATGGAAGGTTATCATATTGTAAATTTCATTAGTCAATTCTCATGCAAATCAAAAAAGTTTTGGTGCACCACTTCATTGGCTATTTCCCTATATTTGGATTTGCTAACTAGCCAATCACAAATCGATACATCAACCAACCTTTTTTTGGATTCCATCATAAAAATTTGTAACAAAAAAATGACCCTTGAAAGTGATGTTCTAAAACGTTGATTTGTCCGATTAAACTTTTAAACGAAGTAGTTTAGTTACATAAAAAAATGAGAAAAACGTGTCACGAAAGATGTCGACTACGTAATTACTTAATTTTTTGTAAGTGGAAGACCATTTTGAAATGGAATCTATGCTATTTTTATCAATCATGTTGGTCTCGAGTAAATATAAAATGCAACAATAATGATGCAAAATCACATATGTGGAGCTCTAGAGAGTGGTCCAAGGGTTTTTTCAATTCTATTGGTATGAGGTCTCAATATTAGAATATTAGGGACAGGTATGGATTACAAATGAAGTCCTCAAACCAATGATATATTGTATGAAAAGATCCTTTCATTCTTTTTTCTCTGATAAATAGTCAGAATTTCATCTGAATTCAGATCCTACTAAATATATATTTTATTTGTTCTTCTATATATTAGATGAATATTTTACACGTCATTTTTCTTTAATCTTGTTGATCTATTATCTGACGTGGCCCATAATGTCCACCAATGTATCTACCTTTTTAGAGTAAATGCTTGTTATTTATGTTGTACCATGTTATTTATGTTGCATACTATTTTTAGGCATAAAATTTAAAGAAAATATACTATAATTTCTTGAAAGTTGCACAAGAATAATTTCTCTATCGCATACCAACGTGAGAAACATGTATATTAATCGAATCGAATTGAAATTGATATTTAAACTTTCTATGATGTCTAAGACACTTATAAATAACATTTTCAACAGCTACATACACACACACACACACACACATTTCTTTTCACCATATACTTAAGATAGATAGACCAAAAATCGATGCAACTCTGATGGAGACTTGAGTTCCAAGTTTTGTTGTGACTTGATTTGCACTCTAAACCATTTTGAATTGGTTTGTTCTATTTTAAAATGAGCGAGTATAAAGAAAAGTTGCTCGGGTTTGATTTTACTAGAAAGAGAGTGAGATACCTCGCAATCTATTGGTTCATTTCGACTTTGCATATAAGAAATGAACCTAAGAAATGAACCTGATAGTCCTATAAATTTGATTTGTTATTCGCATAATGACAGAAGGACGTCGTTTTCCTTTCCTCATTTGCATGCTTAGAATAAACCATGTGTTAGATGCTCACTTTGTAATGCAATGAATTTTGGCTAATTACATAGATTGGGACTAAATACACTATTTAGAGAGCTTCATCAATTTAATTCAAATTACCTGTTATACATTATTGGAATAAAATAAATAATGGTGGTATATATTGGAAAATAAATAAAGATAAGGGGTGGAAAGTGTGATTTTGAGTCCTAGTAGTATGTCCTATCTATGGACATCTATATCATCCCACATGTAGACTACCTTGTGTATTTTGAATATCATTTATTAGTATTCATGGCTCTACATATCCAATAAATGCAAGACCACGTGAGGGGCTCAATTTGGCGAGTAACATGACCACTCAACATATCAACATCATGCTTGTTTTTGTTTCACCTAGGATATTTTATTTGCTATATTCAAAATATTCAAAAATAATAATAAAAAATGAATTTATTTTTTATTTTTCTAGATATTCCTACTTCTTCGTGTGTCAAACACGATGAGATCTAACTGACTTTGATTCTTACAGTTGTAGATGCATAGTTATTTTTTATCGCGATTGTATGCAAGGTTAATGTTGAAAAACTACCAAAATTAAAATTGAGCTAAACAAATAGTTAAAATATAGGGTAGTATTATATATGAAGTATATGAGAATATTTGAACTTTTTTGTCACCATAGCCATAGTTACCATATGTTACACTTATTAGATGGGTAATTGGCACAATATCTTCGTAAGTTTTGCTTATTTTGTAGAATACCCCCTAATGTTTCATTTTAGTACAACCCTTCTAAATAACCCAAACATTGCGGAAGGGAAAAAACCTCTACCGTTCAAGTCTATTAACTTATCAGTTAAAATGGATTTTGAAGCCAAAATTAATAAAAACATCAATGGCATTTTTGTTTCGTCATCTCCTCGTATAGACTTAAGACCGTGTTTGTTTAAAAAACAAAGTGGGATAGGAACTAGTAAGATAAATATATGTAGTCATAGAAACCTTAATAATCCATCAAAAATTACAAAATCATAAAAAAAATACACATTTTTGTACACAGGAGAAGTCTCTACACGCCATTGTACTGAAAATTTTGCATAGATAAGTTAAATATTCACATTTTTTAGATCGGTGTTAAGACAAATAAGTTGATATTTGATATGGGTTTGTAAATTAACTTGGTTATTGATAATGTTGGATTTTTTTTATTTTATTTTTTTCCTTCCATACAGTAGTTATTGGTTAAGGTCTGCAGGTTTGGTGCGAGACCAAAATACCCTTGATGTTTTTAATGTTTTTCACCTTCAAAATCCATTTTAATAGAGAAACTAACAGACGTGGACTGTGGAGGCAGGGGTTTTTCGCAACGTTTGGATGATTTAGGGGGATTTTGTGCCAAAATCAAGGTTATGGAATATTCCATTAAACATGTAAAGGTCAGGAGAGTATTGTGCCAATTACCTTTCGTAGAATTATGTATGACCTTTTTTCTTCAAGCTACAATTCTAAACTTGAACATCGAAGTATAATCGGCCAATCTCTCAAAATTTGATGGTTGGGTTTCTCACAGGTTTTTTTTTTTTTTTTTTTTTTTTTAATGACGAGAGAACCCGCTGCCACTACCCTTCATGTGCACATTGGGTAACCCTTGAACTGACGCAATAGCCTGCAAACCACATCAGTCAAGTAAATCGCACTAAGCAAGCCATGTGCCACATGCTCGATCAAGAAAATGTTGATAAGAGGAATCGAACTTGTGACCAAAGACCGCCGCACTCACCTACTCCAATAACTTGGTGACCCCATGAGGGGCTCTCACAAGTGATTTTTATGCTTATTGTGTGATGAAGTTCTTTTATTGGCCTACTAATAAATTTTGACGAATATATTTTTCCTTGTCTTTCTTTCCTCTATCTTTGTGTACACACATAAATATTCATAAATCTGTAACTATTTTATATAAATTCATTTCTTATATTTACTCACCTCCAAAATGATCTCATGCATATATGATCGAAAATGAAGGAAGAAATTTTTACGATTACCAATGCTAGGACATACTGACGTTGGGTAGGATAGTGATTATCCTATTGTCTTGTTGTAGCAGATGATTCACAAGAAAGAAACGACAGAAAAATGCCCAAAAATCAGAGAAAATACTCTGAATTCAACTCAATGTTATTAATAATACAAAATGATCAAAATTAAACTACAAGTCGGGTTAAATAACTACGAAATACGAAATTATGGAAAAATGATCAAAAATGGCAAAATCTCGAAATTATACCAGAATAAAATATTAAGTAAAAGAAATAAATTGCCAAAAATTTGACTCAATTCTAGTTTTCTAACATATGGAAAAAGGGAAACGAAATATTACCATAAATAGTAAAAAATAACTTAAAATTGAATTTTGAAAAGGAAAACGTGCGCGCCGAACAGAGCTTTTCTGATTGGGGTCATAATAGCGATTCCGATAACCGTAGCCAAAGTTATGGGCAAATTACCAAAGACGCGCCAAATTCCCCCAATTAAGGAAATAATTGCGATTCACTTTCCATCTTTGCGCTGATCCGCCATCTCGTGGTATCTCTGCGCCATCATCGTGCTATCTGATAAATCAGCATCACTCGACTCGGATCCTCCTACATCACATACTTAAGAGGGGTGGCCTCCAGATATTATGCTTGGGACAATTCCCAATTTCCCGTGCTTGATTTCAGATGATATAGAATAGATTGCATTTCTATCAATTATAGCTTTTGAATAAAAGTGACGATAATGCCCTATGTTAAGTTGGTATCAAAGCAAGAGTTCTCGTGTTCGAGTTCAATGTGGAGCATTTTTGTGGAGTGGGTGGCAAAACAAGAGCATGCTTGAAACTCGGGGAGGGACTTCATTGTGAATAGTATAGGATAATTGTATTTGTACCATCAATTATAGTTTTTGGGCTAAGTGATAACAATGCCATACATCATATTGGTACCATAGCTCGAATTTTCAAGTCAATTCTGGAACATTCCCATGGAGTGGGAGGATAATACTGAAACATGCTTCAAACAAGAGAGTGGGCTTGGGGTGAATTTTCGAACTAGCTATCATGTATAGCCTTTGAATAAAATGGTGATAATATTTTTATTTAGTACAATAGAATATTTTTATAATTATAAGAGTCTTTCTGGAGGAATTAAAAGGAGTTATTTTTCTTATCCTTCCACAAGTTAGTACAAGAAAATTTACTCTAACACAAATTTAAAGAGCACGTGCAAGAATGGAGAGTTGAGATCTGCTGTCCATTCAATAATTCATTGACACATTATTTTACAAAATAGTTACAATCATCCTTACTTTCTCTATAATATAATAATAAAGGAAATTT